GCAGGACCCCTTGCTCTCTGTTGCAGCGTTCTGGGGGATGAAGTGATCGGGATCTGGTCCAGGCACGCCGAAAAAGCGGACGTCAACTGCGCCTGCGTCTCTCACTCGGGAATCAACCTCGTGACGGGCGACGATTTCGGCATGGTCAAACTGTTTGACTTTCCCTGTCCTGAAAAATTCGTAAGGACTTGGTTTTGCATCAGATCCTATGCTCTTGTCTTGCTTCTCTAGAGGACGTGTGATGGAAATATTTCCTGCTCTAAATGTGTCGCTCTGTGTAAATGGAGCTGTGTAACCTCCTAGGTGTGCTTCTCCAAGTTTTCCTACTGTTCAGTGCAGTGTCTCTTGCTGTCAGCTCTTGTCGGTGTTGATGTGGTCTGCATTAGCACAGTGCCCTCACACGGGACATTCATTTACGCCCATCTCCCTCTGACAGATGAGGAAGGCAGCTGGGAATTTCAGTCCCATCCGTGTATTCCCTTGGAGGAGAAGTTCACAGATTTTTGGCTAACGCTATCACCGTTTATCTTCAGGATTTGGGACTGCACAGCGTAAACTGTGTGCAGGCTTACAAGGAAAATAATTATTTCAGTGTTAGGAATGGTACACCAAATTCAGAGGTCAACCATGTGACAGGTGATATTTCCTTGCACGGCGTTAGCTTGAACTGGTCCGGTTTGCAGATGCTGTCTCACTTGGCGACGATTTATTCTGCATTACAGCTCCATAGGAGTTCTCCTTCAGGAGATCTTTCGCATTTTAAAACCTATACATAGTTATAGAAATGTGTGATGCAATAAAAACAGCATCTAAAGTGTAGGTATAAACATGCATGCCTTTTTGATTTGGAAGAACACAGAGTATTTAGACTCACTTTATTGATTTGTGTTGTGTTTTTCTCAGGCAAAACACAAGCGGTTTTTAGGTCACTCTGCCCACTTAACCAATATTCGATTTACGAGTGGAGATCGATTCGTGGTCAGCGCTGGAGGGGATGACTGCAGGTACAGGTCCTTTCTGTTGTTGTCAAGAGCTCAGCAGTGGCTGTGCACAGCCCATAAATGATGCCCTATTTTATTTTTATTTCACATGTAAATAATTCATTTTATATTCTATGCAGATCTGCTTTCCTGTGCCTCATTTCAGGCTCCTCTGCCTGCCTTCAATTACTGTCCTCAGACAAAAATTATGACTTAATACTTGAAAATTTCCCACACGTTACCCACTTTAAACAATAACAATTCTGACTGTTTGCTGCCAGCTTTGCTATAAAGCTCAAGTTCAGAGTCTTCATCTTGTTATCTGTGCCCTTGCTTTTTGGTTTGTGTATAAGGGACCTGATTGTGTTGGTGGCAGCAATGCCCATGAGCCAGCAATGTGCCCTTGAGCCAAGAAGGCCAACGCCATCCTGGGCTGGATGAGAAGGGGTGGGTGTAGGGCAGAGAGGTTCTCCTGCCCCTCTGCTCTGCCCTGCTCACACCACAGCTGCAATCTTGTGTCCAGTGCTGGGCCCTCAGCTCCAGAAGGACAGGAACTGCTTGAAAGAGTCCAGCAGGGCCACAAAGATGAGATGCTGGAGGGAGTGGAGCATCTCCTGCTGAGGAGCGGCTGAGGGAGCTGGGGCTCTTGAGCTTGGAGCAGAGGAGACTGAGGGGTGCCCTCATTCCTGGGGATCCATTGGGAAAGGGCAGTGTCAGGAGGAAGGAGCCAGGCTCTGCTCTGGGATGGCCAATGCCAGGACAAGGGGCAATGGTCCCAAGCTGGAGCACAGGAGGTTCAAGCTGAAGAGGAGGCCAAAGTTTGTGAGTGTGAGGGTTATGGAGCATGGCCCAGGCTGCCCAGAGAGGTTGTGGAGTCTCCTTGTGTGGAGACACCCAAAGCCCTGGCCGCGTTCATGTGTGACTGCTCTGGTGATCCTGCTGTGGCAGGGGTTGCACTGGGGGAGCTCTCCAGGTCCCTTCCAACTCCTGACATGCTGGGATTCTGGGATAAAGAAATGGATGTTTGCAAGAAAACAAATAGCCCAGATGTTAATATGAACAGTTAAGATTTAATAAATTAAAATATGTTTACATCTGTACTCAGAGCATCAGACTTCTAGCTGAAATTTTTCTTACTAGCCATTTCTTTTAACAACGTTGTAGTCTTTTATATCTCACGTTTAATATTTTTGTTGTAATCACAGCTTATTTGTTTGGAAGTGCGTGCACATGCCTCACTGAGGGAGACGTGGGGACTTGCAAAGAGGACACTGCACGAGGTGCCGGGCGTGAAACACCCAGGACTGCGCCGTGGCGTTCTGCCGTGCCCTGCCCTGCATGCGTGGAGCAGTGCTGGCCCGCGGCACGGGGCGCTCTGCGGCTGTCGGACGCCCGGGCCGTTCGCTTTGCTGCGAGATCGGATAATCCGGGTTTGTATTTCACTCACTGCCAGGTGTGGAAGATGAGACGTGTGGGTACAAGGAAAAGGGGAACGGTTCATCAATGTACAGTTTCACAGTGAGACCCTGGGGTGGTAAATCAAGGGGTGTTATTGCTGACCTAGTGCTGCACATTGATCTGTTTTCAGCATGAATGTTTTTCCTTTAAGTTTTGGGGTCTGAATATCGTTGGAAAAAAAAAAAAAGAGTATTCGATATTTTATTACTGAAAGAAACCATATATTAACTCTTAAATATATAGTATTTTAATAAATGTTTAATTACTATAATGGAAATGATATTTCTATGGCTGGTCACAAGGAAACATCATTAGCGAAGCAGAAGATAAGAGAGCTGGTTCCTTAGGACCTGACTGTTTCTGTTTGTAGAGGCCTGGGTCGGTCACGTCTGGTGAGAGCCGGTGGATGTGCATGATCTTCATGGCTAATTTAGTGTTTCTGTTGCACTTAAACATTAAATTAGTTCTGTGAGCAGAAAGATTTGCTCACTTTGCGAGTGCCTTGCCCACAACCTCCAAGTCTAACTCCACGTTTTGCCTTGTGAACAGAAGAGTTCTCAGAGGAGCAGGGACGGCTGCTGTGCTGTGTTACCTGCCTGGGCCGCCAGCCCCTGCGCTGGCAACGTGCACCGGGGTCAGGGGTCCGCGGTCGATAAAGCTTGGGGTGTCGCCAGTTGCAAAAACAGAATTTCATAGCAATATGAATTGATTTTATTTTCTCAGTGTCACGGGGGGGGGGATTCAGAGAGAATATGAACTTTCCAAGCGTTATCTTTTGTACATGTGAACTTTTTAACAGAGTTAAGTCAAGCTCGGAGAGGTCTCTGCTCGATTTCTCTCCCGATCATTCGCTTCCTCACTGGCCCCGCTGTCTCCTCTACTCTAGCGTAAGTGCATCTCTTCTGTCCGGCAGCGTCACTGGGACTGGGTTGAAAACCCCATTTCCGTGGTGATGAAAACACGAGCAAGGCTGTGTTTTGGTTACGAGTGAGGGAGATCTCATCAGCTCTTTGAGTCGTGTCCTAGAGGTGCACTGCGGACTGAGCCGGGGTTTAACCAGTGGATTTTCATGCACACGAAGGGACCAGAAGTCACAAATTTCTCTCGCGGTGCCATTCAGCTGTGAACATAAAGCTCTTTTTCTCTGTGTTACCCAGCGCTGCTGTAATAACACTGCGTGTTTAGGTCGGCAGGCTTTGGTGTTACTCACTTCTTGCGTTCTCTTTCGCCAGATACGAGTAAAGAAGAAATAAACCTCATCCCTTCTTGTCAGCATCTCGTGTGCATGGTGGTGTAGAGGTGAAGGGGGAGGACAGTTAATGAGCCAGACTTCCGTGCTCTCCAATGTCCAGAAATGCTGCTTGTGTGCTGTACAAAGCTACCTACCCAACGGTCTTAGATCATCTATTTTATATATCGAGCTATAGCAGATATTTATTTTGAAGAAGCAGATGAACTACACAATCACCAGGTGTTTTGGGGTGATGGTTCTGACTGAAGTTGTGCCAGTCACGCAGCTGCAGAGTGTGGACGTGGTGGTGAGTGCAGGGAGATCTTGCCATTAGTGCTACGTATGAGAACTGAGCTCAGACCTGATCTGTCTCATAACCTTGCTGCCTGTTCGATGTGGAAGTTGGTACCTGGCATTTAAATCTCCCCTGTGCTGAGACATCAGCTGTGTGGTTGTACAGCTGCGGTTCTGTCCCTTGTTAAACACATCCGTGCAGGACTTGGCAGTGAGCTTTGTCCTGCCTCTGTTTTGAAGTTGCCTTTCCTAGGTTCAGCTGGATGGCTACGATCTCCTCACGGTCTGTCCTGCTCAGACTGCCGGGTCAAAGCCCACGTTTTTCCCCTCAGATTCCTAGGCTCGGTGTCTCCCAGCCTCGTGATCCCAGCCCTCACCCAGTGGGAGGGGTGTGGGCTACCCAGAGGTGTGTTCCTCAAATCCCTATTGCTGGCCACGTCCTCTCCTCCTTCATCCTCCCCTTCGTTATCGCTGTGCCTCTCCACTGATAATCTGTGCACTGGTGCTCTTGTCTGGAGGGATCCCAAAGGCCAGGAGGGCGAATTGCAGCGGGGCTGCCCTCGGCGGGGCAAGACTGGGACCTGCTGATAGCGAAACTGAGCCTCCGACCTCCCCGCTTCCGCGCTCCCTTCCGAACCTCACCCCTGCTGCAAAGGGCTGGGACGGGAGCTGGAAGCCGAGGAGCTCTTCAAACACAAACTGCCAGCCTTGCTCCTCCCGTGGCAGCCCGCGGGGGTAGCCAGCGTTCTCCCTGGCAAACTGGGAGTAGAGTGGGGCCAGCCAGCTGGGAATGGTGATGGAGAGGGGTGAGCAGAGCCTCGGGTGCCGCTGTCCTCCCGAGGACGACTGCAGCGTGTCTCCTAAGCTGCGGTTCTGTGCCGGCTGCGGGCACGGCTGACGGCAGCAGCGCTGGGGTGTTGTGGTCCCTTTGTCCGCGGTGGTGCTTGTTCCCGTGCCTCCTTTGCTGTTCACATCAGTGCTGCTGCGGTCGCTCGTGGCCGCCTGTGCTCGCGGGGGAGCAGACGCCTGGTTCTGGGGGCAGGAGAGTCAGAGGATGGCATAACCCAAAGGATGGGGAAGGAGCTGGGATGAGGAGGGAATGGTGACGGCCTTTCCTTCGGAGACACCAGAGCTGTGGGCAGGGAGGCTGGAGGAGGCCTTTGCTCCGATCATACAGCATCAGGGAAGGGGGGGCAGAAATTCAGGGTGTGATTCACTCTCATAGTGGATGATGCAGTTCTCCAGCATGACTGTCTTTAACCGTATTTCTGGCTAGCAGCAAACGTACCTTTGGGAGCTTTCAAGTCAGCAAGATTTTTGTGATAAAGGAAATAAACGAAGGAACTGATTTAGTAAAAGCAAAGCAACATTTCGCTTAAAAAAAAATCAAAGTGCCCTTGAAAGCTGTTTAAGTGTGCTTAGAAAAGAGAGAATGAGAAAAGGAAAATCCAGCAAACAGAGATGAAAATTAAACATGTAGAGCTGAACACTGTCGTAGTACAGGAACTGGGGAACACAGCTGAGGCTGGGACAGAGAGAACAAATTAGTCAAACGTATTGAGTAATTTAACTTGAAATCTTAATTATTTTATTCTGGAGGAGGCAATCATCGTATGTGACTTCCTGATTTTGATAGGGAAGGAAAGAGACGGTGAAAAACTAAAGATAAAGCATTGCAGAAAGTTGCAGCTGAAGGAAAGGAGGCCTTCAGTGACTCCTGACTGCGCAGTAGCCGGGTGTCAGTGTTAGCAGGGCTCGTTTCAGAACAGCCCTGTGCTCCATGCAGGTCAGGCTAAACCTGACCCGGGGTTGTATGTTCAGGAAGCAGACACCCTGCAGAGGATGATCTGGGTCTGAAACCAGATCAGAGGACACCACGAGCAGGGCTTTGGTAGCGTTCGGGAGTGGCTCAGCTTAAAACCTGATCCACTTCTCGCTGGTGGACGTGCACGTCAGCCAAGGCAAACTGTGCCCTTCTTGCCAGCCCTGAGCACCTCCCCTGCTCGGCTGCGGGGTTTTGGAGTCCCTGGCAGGGCCTCTGTGATCCTGTGCGATTCTGGGACGTGCTGTCCGTGGAGAGCGTGACGAGCGCAGGACCTCGGTTTCAGTACGGTTCTGACAGGGTCCGGGTGCTGTCACACCTCCCTGTTTCGATGTCGGTGTCACGGGTGTGACGAGCCTTGATCTTTAAAGGTTGTTTATCTTTCATTCTCTTAGCATAAGCTGCAGACAAACGCCGTCTTGTCAGCGATTGGGAAGCCAGGAAGGGAAGTGAGATTGCAAGTCACAGCATGAACTGCCACATCAGTGACTGTGCCATCAGCAGCTGTGTGGCATTTCCATACTCTCGTTTTCTTACGCTTTCTTGCCCTCTGCTCTTTATGGCACCGCTTCATTTTCGCTTGTGTGGATCCATTCCTGAGCTCGCCAAAGCCCCCTGTGTGTTTTGTGCCGGCCATGGCAGCGTGCTCAGACCCTGCCTGTTTCTTTGGGTGTCTCCAGCCTTGCTCTTCAGTTGACTTTGACTTCATGCTCCAGCTTTGCTTATCCCAGTGCAGAGAAAAAAAAATAGCATAGGTTTAGGTGTGTGATGTGCATAAAGCCACAATGGGAGTCCTTGCCAACATCATCCGTAACTGCAAATGAGTAGGTGGGTTTGGTGGGGAGGTTTTCTCCAATTTAGTTGATGATAAAAGGTCAACGCCTCAGATTCCCAGCAGCACGCTGGTCATAACCCTGATCTGTGATGGTTTTTGTTAGCTTTTAAACCAGCAATACAACCAATTTGCTGCTTCTTTGGGGGAAAAATAAGGCAGGGAACACTGGTTCTCCTCCCGCAGTGTAAAACTGAACAGCGACAGAAGGTGCAGGGTCTGAGCACAGCGACAACGGGCAGCGCTCGTAACTTCCACTTCTTTTTGGAATTACAGGACATGGGATGGAGGAAATGGGAAACCAGTAAATGGAAACCTGGAGAGAAGGAGGCAGAAAGGAAAAGGGAGGAAGGAACGCTCATGGGTAGGCAAGAGCAGCACCAAAGAACTGGTGTGGGTGGGGAGGGCAGGGGCTGGGGAGCAGGGGGTGCTCAGGGAACGGCTGCGGGCAGCTTTGCTGATTTTGGGAAGATGGAGCTGCTCCCATTCCTTGCTCTCTCCACTCCCGTACCCACATCAGTGCTAAGTACAGCAGCTAGCACAGCTTCCCGTGGTTGTGTGGATATCGGTAACAGAAAGTCCTGTAAATATATAAATGCTGCATA